ACATTGTGTAATTCTGCCTTCTTACAGCTGTTGCCTACTTACTGGATATAAACTTCACATTCACAAACCCTGTGCCTGGAGGGGGTTAACAATCAAAATACAAAAGGAAAACAGCACTGAATAAATGTCTCGAGACTACTTCAAGTCATATATCAGTTTATCACTTTTCTGTTAAAGTCAGTCCCACATGACCATCAGAATTAGGATCTGCTCATATGTCTGCAGTAAAGTTACTACAGAATCACAAAGAAGGTTGAAAATTTTGTTGACATTTGTTAAATTACACAAATCACACAGTATCAAATTAAGCCCAAAGCGTGGGGTACTGTAGGGATAAGTTTAGTCTCAAACTTCTAGGACACAAAGCTAATAAGAACCTGTAATTTCCACCACTGATTCAGTGGAGAAAGTATTTTTTACTTTGTCATTTGCAAATTCAGTCTGCAGCATGCGTGTATTTATCAACCTCTTTATAAGGAGGTTGGATTCAGGGAGAAAAGTTGTGGCATTTTAAAAACTCTTTTTAACAGGAGAGAAAAATATAAAATTAACACACTTTATGGATGTCATTGCCACTTTTCCTTGATTCCAGCCCCAATCACACAATCTCTTAAGTTGCACTCCCTAACTTTTGCTCCTCTGAAAATTATGACCATCTGGCATTGCAAATCACCTCCAAATGATTAGCATAACCCAACAATAAATCAAGGTTCTAGTAAATGTTACTTATCTGAAATGAAAGTTAAAACTCACACTGACTTCACTGAAGCCAGTGTTCCAGATGATGGTGGTGTGAAGTGTTTCTACAGTTCACGTTCCTTTATCAGATTTGTTTAGAGAGTTACAATGATGTACACTAAAATACATTATATGAATTCTTGCAGGGCTTTGTATGAACTTTGCTACCATCCAACATTTTTAGAGAGGCTTTTGCATATATAAGCATTATTCCAGCAAGAGTTCCTAGAAACACTTCATTAAGGGCATATTTCTAGTTCATCACAGGCTACCTGAACCAAATTTTAGAAGTTCAGCTTTATAAGCTCAGCTTTAGAAGCTGAAGGTTCTACATTGGTCTATTAATTTCATATATGGACACTAAACTGCAGCTTATCTAGTGTCTGCTAATAAGACAATTTCATGTCTACTTGGTTTAACACTGTTAACTGAGTTCCTTCTTACTCTGCCATCAACAGGCTTGGATAAAAATTAAGTGTTCCTATTTTAAAGTTTGCTCCCATCAACCTGAGAACAAGGCTTTGACATGGCATGCCTGCTCACTACGGTTTATATCAATCTACAGTCCTGCCTACAAACCCACACAACTTCTAGAAATATTGGTTCTTCTCAGTGCTGCCAAAACAGCAGTTTTGCAGCTACCAAATAATAAAGTTCAAAGCCCACTCAAAGATAATTTAGCAAGATTTACAAAACTTCATTAGTTCTAGGTTTTGTTACCTAATACCATACAAAATAACTAGAATTCAAGTATCACATAGGTATTATTTAGAACTGCTAAATGATTACACTTTAGATAAACCATGCTATCTATAGGAAATGTTGCCTTCTTCCACAAACTCTCTCTTACACAAAGAGCTTTCCTTTATGATAGAGAAGCCTCCTAGTAGAATTACTCACATTGCCACATTACTCTCCAAGGGAATACCAGTAATACAGGTAGTTATCATGATTTAGTTGTAAACTGTTGTGTGCATTGTGATCCTGAATTCCATTTGATAAGGGAAAACAAAACACAGACCCACTTTTATTTCTTACTTGACCAAAGCAAATAGATTGTGGCCTAACATGTCTCTACACATTTCTATTTGTTTATGTGTCCTCTGTCTTGTTAAATATTAAAATACTCTGCCTGGCACAGCCAGGTTTTACTCCTGCGCAGACAGACCTTTAAGCACTGGTAGAACACATGTATCTTAATGAAAATAATTTTTCAAAACATTCAAATACAAGATCTCTCAATTATAAGTAAAGCTTCAAGTATGGAAATTGGATATAACTGAGTTAAAATGTGAAAAACAATGTTACAGAAATATGGTTAAAGAAAGCACCTAAACCATTAGAAACATCAATTGAACTTGGAAAATATTTTCGATGATCTCTGAGAATCCATACAATGTTGCAATACAGGAACTGTCCTAAAACATACACTCATTAGAAGACACAAAATTCAGCAGATATGTCAAATGCATAATTCCAGAGTAAAAACTGTCAGAAAACTGAAGGTTTTACAAGCTTCAACTTAAAGCAATTTCCAACTGTTTTCATTGCCATAATGATATTTCAATTTAAAAGTCTTCTTCCAATAGTAATTTTTGTCCTTTTTATTTAAACCCATGGTTTCACTAATCTCTTTTGATGCTGAGCTCCCTAAGACTAGAGGGAGGGAGGTGCTGAATCACAGCAAATATTTATATTTCCTCACAGAATATATCAGTAGACCAGCTTGAATACTTGACAAATAAGACTGTGAAGCTCATAACAGTCTAATAAAAAAAAAAAAGTTTTTTAAAATCTGTAACACATTAATAGCAATTAAAATAGTTGACCACATCAACATTTTAACCTAAAGAGCTATTAGGAATGTATGCAATTTATCTAATGAGTATTTTTAAGTGCTCTGAAGAAAAAGCCACCTTCAAGAAATTCCTGTCACCTCCTAGTTATTGATTTGCAGATTATTAGTCAGCAGATTTTCCATCATAATTTAAATAAGGATAAGATGAGAAGCAGAACTTCTCGTTCAGGAGATTTTCATACCTCCCCCAGTATAATCATGTATTATTACCCATCGTTCATTGGCAAAGCGATTCACTTCTGTTATCATTTATCTTTAAAAAACCCAAAGATTTCTCCAGAATTACTGAAAGAGTGGACATAGAGTGGAAAATGAGCTGTTTTGGGGCCCAAAGAACAGAACAGCTAAAAACTATGAATTAAATTAATATTTCTACATGTTCAGAGGGGATCCACTGTGGAAAGATTGCTTATATTACTGGATTCTGCATACTGGAGTATCAAAACCTACTGTCACAGGTCACTGTATCTATACGAAGAAGACACCTACCTATTTTTATTTTGTTTCTTTTATAAAATCAGGATCTCTGAAAACAGGAAACTTTCACTGGATCTTAGATATTTCAATTCATGTGTGTAGGTCAAATGGCTCTGAGTTCTCTCTGCTGAAACAGAGCAGTGTAATTTCAGGCTGTATAATTTTATAGCAAAGACTGAAAGGCAGTTTGAAGATGTCACTGACTGTAATACAAATCAATATTAAATTATCTGTACAGGAAACATTTTCAAAAGACAGTCCATCATGTTTTCTCAGAGGATCATGGATTTCTAGGATTATTCTTTACTAACTACTATAAGCTATCAGAGTTTATCTCCCTCTTAAATTATTTACAGGTCAAAACAGCCAAGTGACTGCTTTATGTATATTACATGTTATGTACTTGGTTTATAACTTACAATTGCCACACAAAACCACAAGGGTAAAAGTTTCTGAATAAAGACATTTGTTTCATTTGAGAATGTGCATATAGTCATATAGCTAAATGATGCGAAAGGCTGTCCTTTAGGTATTCCACCTTTCTTTAAAACAATGCATTAAATATATGTATGTAAACCGTACTGCAGTGATTATTCTGCAGCTTAATCTTTAAATGGCTATAGTCTGTCCATCTTTAGTCTGATGTCGATTACATATGTAACAGATTAGTCATTTCAAATCACCTAAAGACCTTCATCACATTTCTATCAATTTCTGTATATATATGAAAGGACATTTCAAAGCCTCCTCACTTGCTGCCTTGTAGAATGTCTCATGACTGTCAAATGGAATTTATTTTTCAGCCAAGCAGTCTAAAATACATTTCACAATACAGTAACACAAACACAATAAAAAGAAGAGCCGATCAAGTGTGCAGATAAAGGGAAGGGAATTCTTTCCTGTCATTGCCAAAGAGGCAAGACAGTTCAATAGCAAAAAAATAGAAAAATCACAACCAAACCCACACCACGGTAATAACCTCTAAAAAAAGTTCACACATAGAAGCCTCATATGGGTCTGTTTTGATTTGTGAGGAGTGTCACTGGTGGTTGGAAAGGCTTATGCTAAATGTTCCAGACAGCTGATGCAACCACCCCTGCATCTGCCAGTTTGCAGCATGATGCTTCTAGAGCAGTGGGGCTGGCTGCCCTTAAAGACTTGAAGGAGAAAGGGAAAAAGGTGGAGATCCTCCACGGCAAGAACTACTAGCATCAATATCTCCGCAAACAGCAGCTACTCGTGTACAACATTACTCATCACCACTCGGACCCTCAATTCGGTTTTTTTTAATCCAGTTTGAAAACTGCGAGGTGGCAGCTCACAAAGGTCCAACTCCACAGACAATGAGTATCCACCCGAAACCGACAGCTTCCCCAGTGCCCGTATTTAATTGGAATGACGGCCATCCCCACCGCAGCAGCAAGCACGCCCTGCCACCCCTGATGCCACGGCACCCCCGCCGCGGCTGAGGCACGGCCATGGCAGCCCCAGCCGGCCGAACTTGGGCTCCTCTCGCCGCCTTCCCGGGGCTGCGCCGGGCGAAGGCGGCGGGAGCGCGGCCCGCAGCGCTCCGCTCTGCGGCGGGGCGGCCGAGGACGCGGCTGGGAAGGAGGAGACACGCCGAGAGCCCTGGGGAAGAGGAGGGACCGACAGCGGGAGGGGAAAGGAGAGAGGGGAGTCAGGTCGGAGACTGCACGGTCGGGAGCGAGAAGGGAGCGGTGGAAGCCCGGCGGGGGCTCCCGGGGCGGCGGCGGGCGGCAGGAAGGGGCTGCCGGCTCTTTCCTGTCTCCGTCCCCCGCTGCAGCCTGACCGCCTCCCCCGGGCCGTGCCCCAGCCGCGGAGCTCCCGCCCGGGCTCGGCCCTGTCCGGCCGCCCGGAGCGGGGCCAGCCCCAGACCCGCCGCGCCGCCCGGCGTGCCGGACCCTACCTTCGCCTGCAGATACTGGGGGTAGTAGTAGGTGGTGTACTGGGGGTACATCTGCTGTTTCCACACTTTGCCCATGAAGCTGGAAATGTAGCCTGCAGTGCAGGGATGGGGGGGTACTTTGGGGGGCTCCAGCCGCCTCTCCGTCTCTCTCTCGCCCCTCCTGCCTCTTCCTCTCCGGCGGCGGCGGCTGCTGCTGCTCCTCGGCCGAACTCAGACCTTCCTCCACCCAAGAGCCGGAGCGGAGCGGGGGCAGGCACTCTCGCTCTCTGCCCGGGAGTTGCTGCCAAGTCCCCGCCCGGCCGGGCCGAGCAGCAGCGGCAGCGGAGCGGCGGCGCGGGGAGCGCTCGGGGCCGGCGCGGCGGTGCCAGGCGGCGGGGCAGGGCTGGCGAGGGGCGGGGGACAGGGGCGAGGGGAGGCGCTTAGCCCCGCTCGGCGCCCGGGCCGAGCCCCAGCCGTGGCCCCGCGGCGGGGCAGCCCCGGGGCGGGGGCGGGCTCGGCCCGAGGGCCGCTCCCGCGCCGGGGAGAGCTGCGGTGCCCGGCGGGAGCGGAGCGGAGGCTTTCCACCTTCTGGAGAGAGGAGGACGAGGACGAGGAGGGCTGCAGTGGCCGTATCGCGCCCGGCTTGGCTCTGACCTAATTAGCCTGGTTATGCTTTGTTACCGCCTTCCCTCTTTTGTGCTGAGCAGTGGCGCAGGGCACAAGCTGGAGGGGAAAACTGGGTACAATTTTGGAAAACCAAATGTGGCTTTAATTCCGCCTGACGGTATATATGACGGTCCATTTATCTGCCGGAGCAGAATAGACTGCAGTGCTAAAATCCGTTTACAGAGCAGCAACCACAAAGCCAGACCAAATTCTCTGTCTGGCCCATTGCACGTTCTTAAATTTGCACTTTAGCCAGTGGTGTTGAGTTCTCCAACAGGAAACATTCCTGTTTTATACAGTAATAGTTATATTTTTTTACTTAAATATTTTCTCTGAGAAAGCTGATTTCCTGAACATTAGCAGCATACTATGCTCTACTGTTGTGTGTAAAAAACACAGTCCAATGGGTTTGCTTCTCACAAATCCATCTTGTTTCAACCCAAAGATAACCTGATCCTCAAAGCATTAAGCAGATGCCATTTCTTTGTCACACTAATCACAATCATTTTTGTATTGCAGCACTGTTTGACTAATAAAACGTGTATAAGGTCCACCAAAACTCCTGGTTTTATTAACATCAGCCAAACTAAATGTGATAATAGCAGAAAGAAATATTAAAAACCTGAAGGATGTACAGGCATCCCAGGGTGATAGCAAAGGCAGCCTTTGTGCAGCCATGAATCCCTGGTGCAGGCTGAGCAATGAGAGGTAACTGCAGATTGTCTTCCAAATTCCAGCTGAGCAGAGGACAATTACGCAAATGACATTGCAGCTCTCCTTGCCAGCTATTAAGATCACTTTAAAAGTTTGGAGTTTTTTCTTTCCAGGGAGGAGAATTCTACACACTTTGCAGTCCACACAGATTAAAGGAGTAGTTGCATCTTTAGGAGAAGGCATTTTCTCCAGAAAAGGCATGGGAGCTTTTGAGTTTTGGTTAGGTTTGGGAGGTTGTTTGGATTGTTTTTTGTTTGTTAGCACACGGCTAGAATGACTATGAAAACAAGTCGAAACACAAAAAACATAGGACTTGGTAATGTTTTCTGTGAGAGGGACAAAGATTAAAGCTAGGGAAAAGCTGAACAGAACAAAAATATCAGGTATTTGCGGGGGTTAAGACTGTTCATCTGGAGAAGCTGAAATGGCCATGGCTAAAATCAGCTGGTTTCTGTTTACTGGTGTTCAGGCAGTGGAAAAAAGCACACAGGCAGCAATTATCTCCAAAGAATGCCAGGTGACATGGCTCCAGGGTAGTGCGTTGTCAGAGGACAGGAGAAATTAAGTTTCAGAGCTTCAAGGGGAAATGTGTTACTACAGCCCAGATACGTGAGGATACTGTTGTAGACTGCTTTGGGAACTGCCAAATTGTGGTCTGAAGTTCTTGGTTGAACTACAAAGAATGTGGTGCTGGCCTCTCATGAGCTGACAGGTTACGGGTGCTAGTACACTTAGTTTCCTTTTAAAAAAAAACAAAACAAGGAAAAACAAGAAATAAAGACTGATGGATGCACTTTGTGGGCATTTTCCTGAGGAGAAGGAAAGAATGAGATCTGAAAGAAAACATTATACTGAAGACATCTGGAAATAAAGAGTGTTTTCCTAGAATCCATTTTCATGTAAACAGCAACTGTGGTTGTCACAAGTACATTGTGCAATCCTGTATGAGGAGAGAAGCACCCAGAAGGAAAAAAAAAAAAAAACCTTCAGGAAATGAGGAGAGGGGAAATGCAGCCTATATAATTCCACCATTTACAACTGCAAGAGTCTCCAGTTTAACTGTGTCAAGTTATAGGTAAGGGCTGGTGGCTGCCAGCAAGAGGAGCAGCAATGCACTCTGCCACAACACCTCCTGGAAGTGATGAAAGAACAAATCTGGCTAAGAGAGTATTTGATTTCAACCATAACAGCTAAAGCTGATCTCCAAGTTCCTTCCCAGTCTCTCCTCGCAAAGACTTAGAACATTCTCAAACAAAGTCTTTTGCTCTAAAGATTAATCTCATCCCCAAAGATGTGTCACTGTTAATGTAATGATGAAACCAATTTGGTTCCATTTTAAACCAGAATATTTTTTAATTAAAGATATTCTTTCATTGGAATATCTGTGAAGCTGACATTAAAGAAGTTAAAAATTCATAGTTTAATATTTGCCATTTAATTTAAAAAATAAGCCTGCAACTTAATACTGCAAACTTCTACAGTGCAGTGATCCCAGTGATGATCATTGAGAGTTCAAAAATAATACTCAGTTTTTATTAAAAATTGTTAGAAGATATAATTATTTTATTGGAATCATTGAAATGAGCTTCAGTTAGAGTATTTTTTAAAATTACAGTTAAGGTGATTACTGAATTAATAATTGAAGAATTCTTGGATCAAAAAAAATCAAATTTAGCATCACACAAGGCAATCTGTTTCTATCTTTTTAATATGTTGATTCTTCAGCCAACTTAGTAATATGGATGCAAGTTGTGCAATAGAGATAGGATGTCATTGCAAATGAAACTTTAAATCAAATTACTAATATCTTAACTTTTCATACTAATGGAAATGTTTGGATTTAATTACTTATTTTATGTTAATTGCAAGGCACATATAAACTTTAAAATTGAAATAGTTTATGCTGTCTGGTGGTACCAACCCCTGTCATCATGACTAAATACTCACAAGGTTTGAAATGCTTCCCCCATTTATGCACCACACAAGGTATAGGATTGAGAAGGAAGAGAAACACTTAGGTGTGTTCTGGAAGGAAGTAGATACACAAAAGAGTAAAAAGTTATTCCTACGAAATGTTAAGGAAAACAGTACTCCATTATTTTGTCCATGGCCAGAGTTCACTGAGTATTAATGAAACAATATTAAATTCTATTAAATTATAGAGGTTTTTCCTTTACATTACTTCTTTATCATGGATATTCTCTAACTACTCAGGAGTGATTAAAATATGATGAAAACACAGTTGGGTTCTTGCTGCAAATGCCTGAGAAGCGCTGCAAGTCCTGCCATTCAGAGGAGTTTTAGGGCCACTCAGTTGAGCCCAATCACTGGCTATGCACTGACTAACAGTGTTGTAAAGAGAAATCCCATTCATGCTGTACAGATTAATTTAAACATCAGGAGTTCTACCCTAAGGCAGAAAAAGTCAAACGCAATGCAGAATAGGAGGGAAATGTATTTAAACCGTCTCACTTCAGGACCCAAGGGGACCGCTGTACTCTGCACCATTTGTGGTCTTTGCACTGGTTGAGCTGAAAGAGACAGACGTGTTTGTGCTGAAATCGTTATTAGTATGACGCAGTTAGGGATATTTGAACAAAACTTCTTTTTCTAGTTAAGATACTAGCTTGAGTTTTAGGAGATCTTTCTTTGAAACCAGATCTACCACAGCATGTGGGTGAGAGGGTGAGCAAGTCGCTAAATTACCCTGTGCCTTACTTCTGTTTGTAAACTGTGTCAAACATTCACCCCGTTCTTTGCCTGCGCAGGGCACCACAGTCACTCACTAAGAATCTGCCGAGTTCGATTCACATAAGAGGACTAAAACAAATGGCAGTGCATCAGTTGTGAATGCAGAGAGGTCAGGTACTGCATCCTAATTCACGTACAAATGTTAACAAACCAAGAATCTATTTTACATCCTCAGACTGCAAGTTAGGGCTACAGAAATGCAGTGAGGTTTAAGCTGTCCACCGAAACTTCTTGCCTTCAACACACACTGCTCCAATTACTTGCAAAACCTCCTTGTAATGCCACCCTTAGCCCCATCACAGGGCCTTGACTGCTTTGAAACACAAATGAAAGACTCTTCAATTTAGGTCCACTAGGCCACACTCAAGCACAAAGGCTAAATAAACGGCCATTGTTCATGGGCCACCAAGATGAAAAGCACTTGATTGTTGTCATCAATTAAATCAGCTCTCTAGCTTTAGTGGCTATTAACCCTTTCAGCAAATTCTTAAATATTTATTTCAACAGACAGACTACAATTCTGTACTTTTACAGTAGCTGTCCTGGTGTAAGAGCATTTCCCTGGAACACTGCTGAATGTAGCGTGCCCTTGTTTATCTTTACAGCTGAGCCATGCACTGCACTGGCTCAGCTGCTCCTGACAGCTGCAGGCACCGTAATTCACTTCTGAAAATCTACAGGGCTATACAGTATTCTAAGATTGTGCAAGTGAAGTATTTAGCTGGCACTAACAGACAGGCATTTAACATGCTTCTGCATTTGAACCTCCCCTGTCACGGTTGCATGTGCAGCAGGCAATGCTCCCACTATTGGCAATGGACGCCCAAAAAAGATGCCTCCAGACTGCTCATGAAAGCAGGTTGTGTTTGCAGCTAAACATATCACCATGAATCTGTGTGATAACCTTTTCCTCATGTTTAAATAGGTCTGAGAGTATCCTTTCCCTCATAAGTGCTCCATTTTCTATATTCTGGTTTACCCCAAGATGCCCAGCTAACAGAGATGATTGCATACTAAAAGCAATTTGTTTTTCTCCAGCATTCTTCATAAAACCTTGTGAGGCACTTTTTGTTGGTCTAGCTCTATAGATCTATTCAATACATGTTTTATGCAAATAGTCTTCTCACTGACGGCAACAGTGAGTTGTATTACATGACTATGCTCACTCTAGGGTTGAAATAGTTAAGAATCCCACTTCTATTCATATATTATTTATCAGAAACTTCCATCCCACACAGTTCCTAACTATCCTG